TTTTTATGGAAAGATAAAAATAAATTCAAATTTTTAATTATTGTCTATTGTTTCCAAAAGAGTTTTTAATAAGTGCGAGAAAAAAGAAACACATTTGGGCTGTTTACCCTTCATTTGGATACACACACCAATGGCGGATCCAAAGCATCACAATGGGGGGTGGATAACCCAAGAAAATATATCAAATGGATAGATTTAGGGCTTGTTGTTTATCAGAATAAATCACATTCACATTTTTGATATTTCCTCTTTAATTTATATCATAATTAATATATTGTCCAACCGTCCTAATCAGGCAGCATAGTGTCAACCCTTTGATACTTTAATGCTAGTTATTTCCTACCATAATCTTCATTTTCTTGCCAGTTCCTCATTAATCTTTCTCTCAGCATTGTATTTTTATAATCCTATGAAACAATGTTATGATGGMATCATTGTTGCTTGATAAGCCTAGCAGCTTTCGTGTACATATGCACTATTCAACATGACGATACAAAACTAGACGATCATAGATCGCTTACGTGGGCTTCCAGTAGCTGGGACAATGGGTCAGCTGCCGCCATTGAGCTATAAGTATTTCATTTTCACGATACAGTCTTTGTTTGAAATAAGTCAAGACAGAATTAAGTTAATATAAGTTATTTACTACATCATAATTTTTTTACCGAACTGAACTCTAAGTAACTTCTTTAAATGTCCTGTCTTTTAGATTTCCAAAATAGCTAGCCCGATTCTACGCTCTAACAGCGTTTAGGAATATGCAAAAACGTGAGATTTAAATAAATTTGACCTGAAAGGTCATATAAACAATAGAAACGGTACAGTCTTTGCAGTTTTGTCAGTATTGTTAAACTTTGAGTAATATTTTGATCGTTTGAATCATTTGATATCTCGTAAGAACTAGTAACCTTTGAGTTCGTGACCGGCACGTTCCAAAAATTACGCTGAACATCTTTTATTGTGGGCCTACCACAACGGCGTGTRCGTTTGTAAGCGTTCTCGAGTATATTTCCTTCATTTTCTTGATCAGCTTGCTTTTCTTGGTCACAAACCAGGTACCAGTAGCTATAAAGTGTAGTTAGATATCGCAATCAGGCCACGCACGACGGATGTGCAAAACAATACATGTCAAAAATGAAAGTAAGCGCGGATTGGTTGAGTTTGACATCCCCCACGGAAACTGAGACTGAAGACCATCTGCAACGCAGGTGCTAACAAATTGAAGCCCAATATTCACGAAGAAAAGTCCATTTGCATTTCAAGACGTGAGCTTCCACAGGAAGCTCACGTAAAAAGAAATGTGAATAAGTTAATTTGATATCTATTGGTGAGCTTTTAACATAAGCCCGTGAGGGTTTCTATACATGTACACTTTAAGAAATTAACTAGCATAGGGGGAGGCTATTATCTCCAGTACATTTTTTGCAGGGGGCTATTGCTTAGATTCTGRAATGCAATTAAATGAATTTTAATTTTTAGTCCTGAAGATTATCTGATAAGTTCGAAAACGTTTAACAACATCATATAGCTTTTTTTTAAATATTCATCTATATTTCTTTKGGCGAGTGTCATGATACAAAATGAATGAATTCCATTACCATTGGTCCATTGATTACTTTTATTTAAGAAAAAAACTATCAATTAATTGTATCAATCTACTTATTTCAACAACTTATTTTGTACGGTGTGAAATATACTCTGACGATTTCCACATCAAATTAGCTCAATGAGCTCTCCTGATTATGACACGTGGTTTGCCATTGCATGTCTTTCATAAATGATTCATCTGAGAACAACCTAACCCTCCCCTACCTGTTAAACACCAACATCAGTTTAAATATGTCGTTTTTCGACATGTTGATCATTGCACTGGACCATTTATTTGATTTGAGATTACATCAGTCTCATGTTTCAAGAACCAATTGTTTATTGTTTATAGTCACACTGAAATTTATATTCTCATGTTATAACATTCAATCGAAATTAGTTGGATCAATTACCTTAATGCAACAACTATGACGTTATTTCTTCGTGAATAATCCATGTTCAGTGGTGCACTATAGTGGTGAAAGGTGTATACTGTTTATAAAGAATAGACATGAAATACGATATCTGTTCTCACTCAAGTGTTCTCACACATCATTTCATGAAATCAAATCAATAAAATTTAAACAAACCATGACTATTCTTTTAGACAAATATTTCAAAACGTCTCATGTATCTACATTGCGGAGTAAAGCTTAAAATGTTTGACCCTCCCATCAAACGTGTGATTGACTAAGCGGACGAAATCAACTTCTATATTGCAGGTAAGGTTATCAGCCCTTTCAGTTCATTGTAGTCGCCGAGTGGACAAAGAGACTCCGAAAATGATGTCCGTGATTTTGATCCTGTGTCAAATGACGCTGGCGATGAGTGAGTGAAATATTTTAATTAGATGTTTGMTATGATCAAATATCAGTTGTTTGTTTGTTTGTATTTTCGTGTAGATTATCCATTTATAGAAGTGAAAAACTCCATTGTTTCACAGAACATAGAGACACCTACTTTAGAAAATCTAAGTTGCACTGTCGTATTCTAAAATAGTATTAACGACGAATGCATCTCTTCCAAGGAATGGTCACATGACACTCTTACGACATTGTAAACAAACATTTATTGTTTTYTATAAAGCATCTGCATTTTTTCACGATTCTTTGTTCACTCTGTGGAACCTACTGACAAAATCCTATTTCGCGCATGTATGTTGTACAATTTCGAGGTACAGGAAGTGTTTGTGTTGCTACGTAGTTACTATATACATTCGCTTTCAGCTCGTGATTCAAAACCTTTCTCGTGTTCTCCCAACAATCCCGTGTGTTTCTTACAGAGAATGCAAACATGGAAAATATCTTGTAATGCTTAAATCAAACGTTTTGATAGGAATAGAAAACAACAATACTATATAATTCAAGCACACATACTTATTTCAGGTATGAAAGGGAAAGACTTGTCATCTAATGACAATACATCGCTACCAATAAATACGACAAACAACACCAAGAACGACGTTTGCCTTCTACCCAAAATGATTGGTCCGGGCCGTGCAAGTTTGCCTCGATTTTTCTTCGATGCAAAGTCAGGAAAATGCAAAAAGTTTAATTTTGGAGGCATAAAGGGCAATGCAAACAACTTCTTAACCAAGAAAGAGTGTGTGGAAAAGTGCGCTGATCAAGTGCAAAATACAACCAGTCAACCACCAACGACCAGTGAACCAATCACCCCAAAACCTATACAGAGGGATATTTGCTTTTTACCCAAAAAAATTGGTAAGGGACGTGCAAGTTTGCCTCGATTTTATTTCAGTTTGGCAACAGGTCAATGCGAAAAATTTACTTTTGGAGGAGGAAAGGGTAATGCAAACAACTTCTTAACCAAGAAAGAGTGCGAGGAGAAGTGCTTTGTTCGAGTGCAGAATACAACCAGTCAACCACCAACGACCAGTCAACCAACCACCCAAATGCCTAATCCAGCAGTAACTTCAACAATTCAACCAGTCATGACAAAAGAAGAAACAGATAACAATTGAGTATCTGGAGRTATTTTCAGGTAAATGATGAGATGGTATTGAGATCTGTAAAAAATCTATTCATGTTGACTGATTTTTCCTATTYGATGATTTGTGAAYTGTTCTCTGCAATTATGTCAAACATATCGCTTAATGGWTGTGCAAGTCTTTGTAGAGCTTAGATCGAGAAGCATTTTAAATAGTACCGCAACCTCTAGCTGTTTATATTGTCAATGCAATGACATAAAAAACATAATCATACGGGCTTGGCAAGCTCCAGGCTGCATTTTGAGAAATGCTTTTCCGCCGAGAAAGCTCATTAGATTACACTTCGCACCACAACGAACTCAAAACCAGTTTTTGATACATTATTAACAGTTTAGTTGATGTGTTGAAAAGGGCCGCAAAGCTGAAAATCGTGCTTCGTATACGTACTTCAAGCTATCTTGTAYCAACAACATCAGAATAGCTGTGGGAGGGTCTGCTAGTATGCTTTTGTCAGTCCGTTCTAGGGCTTAGAAATTTAAGTGATTTGATATTCAATTCATACAGTTTGTTGCATTTTAAGTCTCCGTAGTCCATTATAGAAGATAATAACAAACGCTTTTACTCTACCCTGGGTAGGTCTTAATTTTGCAAACAATATTTTCCGGGTCAGGTTGTGCTGACTGTTTGCTTACTTCGCTTTTCCAGGAATCTGAGTAACAAAAGACCGTTCTGTTGYACAGCATTTGTCCTTTGCACTGCTTTGGTGTAGCAATAAGTTGCTGCATGGCGATAATGACATCATCACTGAATAATCCATATTTCTTTTTATTACACAGGAAGCCTGTCAATCCATAGAATATATCATAGGTATCGCACATCATGGTTTATTAATAGTAATAGTATAATCTATTTCAAGGAAGAGATGTACTTCTTAAAATCAATAATAAAGCATCATTAAAATGAGTGTTGTAATATTTATGTAACATCATGTGACAGGTTCACTTCAAGTATACGTTCTGTGTACTATTCGATCCTATGCTGTGACAATCACTCGGACCTTGTTCGCTTGATGCTTCCCTAATTAGAACATTAATTTTTAAATTAAACATTTTGTTCATTTCGTTATCATAATTAGCTAAATTGGTTTACCCAGTACACCCAATAATATATATTTACAAGCAAGATGAGACGTTTCAAGTTGTTTATCCTCCTTAACTCAAGAGAGAATAAGGTATGAGAATCTATCACCCATACTTGGCTTTGCACCCTTCACGAGAACCATTCATTCTATTGTTAACCTCGAGTTATTTTGAGGACGCAATTTGACGCCAGAACGTAGAAGGCGGAGATAAATATACTCTTACGATTTCCTGATCAAATTAGCTATGAGCTCTCCTGGCATCATTACACGTGCCACTGCACGTCTTTAAAAAATAATTCATCTGAGAACAACCTATAGCCCTCCCCTACCTGTTAATCACGGAAAACATCTGTTTAAATACGTCGTTTTTCGACATGTTGATCATTGCACTGGACCATTTATTTGATTGGGAATTATATCATTCTCATGTTTCAAAAACAAGTTGTTTATTGTATAGTCACACTGAATTTCATATTTTCAATTGAGCGAAACTAGTTGGATCAATCACTTTAATGMAACAAACTATGACGTTATTTGTTATGAATAAACCATGTTCAGTGGTGTAGTATAGTGAAAGGTGTATACTGTTCTTCAAAAAGTCATAAAGAATACTAMTAAAGKTGACCTTTATCAGATATAAAGGTGCATGACACTWGCAAAGGTCTCAGGTTTGATACCTGATCATTGACCAATGCATGATGTCAACCAAGAGAAAATGAGGTAAGAGAAGGAATCCCTGTTACCCATCATATCAGCCCTTCGTTCTATTTTTAGAAAAAGAGCTATTTTTAGKTTGTTACCAAGCCCGYGCGACCACTACTCGTTTATCGGAATTTGATATCGGCTATTTTTCATCGCMAAAAACTGAATGTCAAATACTGTTCGAGAAAAGCTACAAAATTCGCTTTTAAAAAGGAAACTTCTTAAAGAAGAAAAGGAATCTTCTTCATCAAAACAAAGAAAACTTGAAAGTGTCGAAGAAGAATCAGCTTCTGAAGGTAATGTGACATGAAATTAGATCGACAATCTGACCTTTGAATTCTCTGACCTCTCGAGCAGTAATATYTAACCTGGAATAGATAATTTATAAAACGCATAATTTACTTTTGTAGATTCAACACGAAAGGATGTTGTCCTTGATCGATTGAGGGAAAAAGTAAACAGCAAKAATTCATCCCAAGATACTCGTCAAATACTGCACTCTCTTAAAGCTAAGGTTGATAGCCTGAACTTAAGTGTCCATGCGGTAGAAAAAAAATGTAAAAATTCATCTCTCCTATCAATAACTGCATCCGAAATTGCAGATTACAACAAGAGTGTTGGGCTTCACTCGAAGATACATCACTCGAAGAAAGAACATCACTTTCACATGATTCATTGGTGTCTTCAACTTCAGACGTATCAGTATCTTCGTGAACCTGCCCGACACTTTCACCATTTATAAACCAAAACCACTGCTTTCTCCTTCTTCCTCTGCATTTATCGCTTAATATCAAATCGTTTTCGTTCACAAAAGTAATCTCTCTCTCGACCTCCATTTTGAATTATTTTCTCGCGTCTTACCACAAACGGCTGAGCGACCTCGCCTCATACGATCTGACCAATCATGTTCCATTTCTAAAAATAGCTCTTTTTCTAAAAATAGAACGAAGGGCTGATATGATGGGTTAAGAACGCAGTACCAGGGATTCCTTCTCTTACCTCATTTTCTCTTGGTT